ACCAACTTCCAAGGGAAGTGGTGCTGGCTCCTACCCTGGGGGTCTTTAAGAGGAGGCTTGATGCCTACCTAGCTGGGATCATTTGAGCCCAGATTTTTCTCCTGCCCAGGCAGGGGGTTGGACTTGAAGATCTACAAGGTCCCTTCCGACCCTACTTCTGTGATTCTATGATATTTATCTGCCCCCAACTACTTGTCATGTGGCCCTTGATGGCTTGCCAAAACTCGGTAAGCGGCCCTCCATCCAAAATAATTGCCTACCCCTGCTCTACAGCACAGTGCATCATCTGTCCTATTCCCAGTAAGGCACGTAACAGGAGGGCTTGGGATAAGTGCTGGAGCCGTTCAGAAGGACCTAGTTCTGAATGTGCAAGGCTGCATGTTAGAACGACCAGACTTGGAGACAGAGGGTGCAATTGCAACTTGCTGTTTCCAACTGATAGATGCAGGTTGTATTTTGTAATGAGGATTACAGCTGGTGCTACTGTAGCCTCATTTTTTCCATTTACTGTTCTCACACTGTTTGATTTGCAGATGAGCAGTATTCTTGGACAAAAATTGAAATGGTGGATCACCTTTTGAATAGTGGTTTTAGAGAGCATCTCTTTTATACAGCTATACAAAGTTAATCAACTTATTTGTCTCTTTATGGCAGTAGATAAAATATCATTTTACCCATAATTATGAATATGTTCCCAAGAAAAATGTGATGGGTATAAATTTTAGCAAATATCCTGTGTCTGAGTTCAGTAATCTAATCACTAATCTGACTTAATAGTTAGTTTTGGTGTTTAAACATTTTCCTTACTTCCATGTGTGTGCATGGGTTTGTTTGTTTTTTAAGATCCAGGGGTCTGGTGATGGAAAGTTGTATTTTATTTCAGTGTAAATCTTCATCGTTGGGAAATAAATCAGTTTAAAGTCAAATTGTGTGTCCCAGTTGGCTAGTCATTGTGTTGTGCAGTTGCTTTGCTTTGCCAAGCTATGTACAGGCAGTCCTCAACTTACAACATTTTGAGTTGCAATGTTTCGTACTTACATTTATAAATTGACACCCTGTTTCAACTTTATGATGTCAGTTTTGACTTTACAACGCTTGATCTGATGCAGTGCCATGCCAGCGAACAAGTTTGCTGTGTTGCTCATCTCCCTGGAGAACCTGAGAAGACTCCAGCCAAGAACCCTTCAAAAAGTCCAACCAAGAGCCTTTCAAAAAGTCCGGCAAAGTCACCTCAAAGAAGTTCTTCCAAATCAATATGATTGCTATTTAAAATATGAATGTCTCTATATTACTCATCTATAATCGATCAAGTACAAATTCTGGGGTATTTTTGGTGAAAATAGGGTATTGGGCCTTCGTTCAAGAACCAATCCCCCATTTATAACATTGTTTCTTATGAGAAAATTTCTTGCAAGTTGCAATGCTTCGACTTAAGAGCAGTTTTCAGGAACCAGTTGTGTCATAAGTCCGAGGACTGTGTGTACTTCAACAATTTACTGTACCAAAACGAGGGAGAGTTCATAATATAGGTGTTAAGCAAACACTTGCCAAGAGCTGACTTACTTCTGAGTTCTTTAGGTACACAAGTGTGCTTGATCTTTTATTCAAGCCTTAGTATGTAGTCAAACCATGGTCTGTAGAATCCACCATTCTCAGAGTGCTGTGTCATAATCATTGTTACTTGTTTTAGTTGCTTGGGCAATTTCTGCAGTCTGTACTTCCATACTGAAAAGGAGTGGGTCTGCTACATGCCATAAAAATCAAATTTCTAAATTGTTAAAATGGAGTTTCCGTGCTTTTCAGGTTCCCATAGTACATTAAAGTTGTATTAAAGAATATTAATCGTCCCACACCTCAAAGAACCTGAGAACAAACATGAAGGGTTTATGGCATTTTAGAAAAAAATAAATGGAGAAAGAATTACTCTTTTTACACAAGCAAGAACAAAAATATCAAAAACTACTTCTTAGTGGGAGAGAGGAATGGAAGTTAAACAATGATTTTTTGGGGTGGGGATTCAAGTATCTTAATTTGAAACTTTGCAGTTACTAGAGTGCAGGGGTGGGCAAGCTACAGCTCCTGGAGCAGGGGCTTTGGCATTGGGCAGCTTCATGTATGCCATGGATATGGGATACCAGAGAGAAGAGGTGGCCTGGTCCCAGTGCTGGCCCACTTTGGACCTTGGGTAGGTCATTCTGGCCCACCTGTAGAAAACATTGCTGACCCCTGCTATATCATGCTTAAAACAAGGTTTTCAAATAATTCTATAAGCAAGTCTCTGTGAGGTAAGCAAAATGCTAGGGATCTGCTATATGTGTCAGTTTGCCCATTCTAGAATTGGCCTTGGTCACAGTACTGGATAAGAACCTAGTACTTGGTCACAGTACTGGATAAGAACCCAGTTCTCCTGGTTTGTTGTGCTAAACGTTAGACATAAGTTCGCAGTCTCCCTTCCTTCCCCTTATTTCTTGTCTAGTGATCCTGGGCTTAATAATTGGACTATGACCAATTCTGTCTGTCCTCTGTATTTCTATAATCAAGTAGCTCTTTAATGCATTAGTCCAGGGCAGGCAGTTATTTCAGGCGGAGAGCCACTCACTGAGTTTTGGCAAGACATTGAGGGCTGCATGACTGGCAGCCAGGGCCAGATGCATATTAACTTCCTAAATTTTTTAGGAGCCCCGCAGTATGGATAGAATAGCCTGTTTGGTTGCATTTTGCCCACCCCAACTTAGTACCTTAAGAGACCTGTATTCAATTCTGTCTTTTAATCTAAAGATCTGTTGATTTTTTTTTTTTTTTTGCCTGTTTTTGCAGTGACAATGAAGAGTGTGTTTCTTTTCCTTGCTGCTTTAATCATTTCGTGGGGCTTTTCTTTGGCTAAATTTGATGAGTTTGAAGATGGTGATGATGCTGTGGAGTATGATGATAATGATTTTGCTGAGTTTGAAGATATTGTTGAAGATGTAGTCACAGAATCTCCCCAGAGGGTCATCACTACAGAAGACGATGAGGAGGAGGCCACAGTAGAGCTTGAAGGTCAAGATGAAAATCAGGAGGACTTTGACGATGCAGATGCACAGGTAGTGTCACATAATGCACTTCCTCATTTTAGCTGCACACTTGAAATGCCCCTTTGCTTGCAAGGCCCAGATTAGCAGTGTTATCCAAGATTGTTCTTTGACAGCTGTGTTGTGGGATGTTCTGTTCCAGCTGATCTCCCAAGCTAATCAGGTTGTCCAGGCTCATTATTTGAATGGGATTTTGAAGGTGCCATTTGTCCTTTAGCAAATCCATTGTGGTTGTTAAAGGGTGCTCAGAGGCTGAATATATCAAGTTACAAATGAATGGAGTTAGTCATTCAAGATATGAGGCACCCTTGCAGAAGGGGAGACATTAACTTCAGTGCCCTGGTTGCATGGTTATATATATCTTCGTGAAGATCCCATTACAGTTTTGATTGCATGCAGTGTTTCTTCATTTTCCATCCTAAACTATTTTATAGATTTTCTGTGTCCTATTGAAAAGCTGTCACATTCTGATGCAGAACTATATGCATTTCACTGCTAAATAAAGCAATCATTTAAGAAGGGGATGGATTTTAGTTTGTAAATCGCTTTGAGATCCTTTGGGTTGAATTCCTAAACCTATACAAGTGAGAAAATGTTTTGTTAAAGCTTTATAAAGAAGTGAAGGAACATTTTCACTGCAGAAATGTTCCTGTTTTTACAAATCCATGTGGTGGTATATTGTTTGTACAAAAGAAATGAAAAAGCCAGTTCCCCAGCAATTTCCATTTTAATTCAAGTTTTAAAATCATCAGCTCTAAACATAACAAAAAATACAAGTCTTCTACATGTGAATTCTCAAGTGTCACTAGGGGAGAAGAGGTAAAAAGTCAGTACATATTTGATTTTTCTATACATCTGTGTATGTGTGTGTCATGGTGAGTACTGCACCACTGAAATTTAGCTACCTGAAGAAAGTAGAGTGCTAACTAGTTAGCACTTGACAGACCCTTTGCTGATGGTCAGTAGGAAAGATGGGGTGGGTGAGCAGGGCTTGTGTCCAGGCCCCCAGAAGAAAGAGGGGGAGGGCTCACTCCAGGGCAGCTTGCTGCAGCCTGCCTTGCTGCTGTATGCCTGTTGCCTTGCCTTGCTCTGCCAGCACTTTCTGGCTCCAGGATGCAGCTGACACAAGGTATTCTAGAAATCATAATTTTGTTAGAGCAGTAGTGGAGTCTGCTGTTGTTGGGCGGAGGGAGTGGGGTGGAGAACTGACCCCCATTTTTTGCTGCCAAATTCAGTACATTTTTCTTGTCCTCTGGATATAATCTTGGGCAGCAAAAAAAAATAGGATGACAGTTTCTTATTGATAATAGCAAACTCTGCTGCTGCTCTACAAAACTATAATTCCCAGAAAGTTTCATACTCTGCCCAGGTCTGTACCCCATTCCTGTGCGTGGACAAAGTGGTGGGGGGTTGAAAGCAGTTGCCCAAGGCATGTTTCTTCCACGCTATGCCTCTGATGCTGGTGTTGGGGAGAGGACATCTTGACAAAATTGGTTGCTAGCTTGTGTTGCTATATCCTCATAGCTATTGTTATCTGTGGCAGCTGAGCTGAAGTTAGCATGGCAGTAACTACCAATACTGTGGTTGCACTTTCACTGGGTGGACTTACCCCTACATGGAAAAAACATATTCCTTTACCTTTGTATGGTGTGTCTGTTTGTGTTATTTTTATCAGGCTTTAAATGTTCGTGTTCTTTCCTTCTTAGGAGGGAGATACTGAGAGTGAACCATATGATGATGAAGAGTTTGAAGGCTATGAAGAGAAACCAGATGCATCTCCTAGCAAAAATAAAGACCCCATAACAATAGTTGATGTAGGAATACATGTTTGAATGTCTTTCTATTCAGCAGTTCATTATGATAATGTCTAGAGAGCTGGTCATACAACAGGACTTCAGTGTGCTAGCTGCTATATGAATATACAGTAAGAGAGTCTGTCCTGAAAAATTTACAGTTTGATGAGGCAAGGAGTTGAAAGGAAAACAGGCTTAAAGATACCACGTTGTCATGGGACTTCAAGAGGGCAGTGGTAGAATTGACATGCAAATATCCTGAGTTCCAGTTTCACACTCCTCTCCACTGGATTATGCAGTCTTGCTTTAGATTGTAAGCACACAACATTTGAAGCATGCTCTCAGTCTCAGATGGCTTGGTTCTTAAGAATATCTTAATAACTTTATGGAATTGATACTATTTTCTCTCTCCTTTCATTCTCAGATTATATTGGTACCACCTTCTAGCCCAGTTCTGGTTATAATATGGAATATATACGGATTAAGGGCATACTATGAAGACAATAAGTGTTTCTAGTAAAACTGTGTTTAAACATGTTTTTGGCCATAGCATTTCATATTGTGTCTTACAAGAAGAAATGTTATGGTAGCAAACCATGATTTAGTCTGTGTATCAGTTCTCATCATGTTTGGCATTTGGCATACGCAGGCAAGAAAAACGTGGAAGTGGCTTGGCTACAAATGCGCTGAAATAGGCTCCAGCTGCACCAAAACATAACTGACGCTTCAGATTTGGAATGCAGCAAAGGAGACTTAGTTTAAATATTAAGGACATTGTTCTATCTAAGGGAGTAGCTAAACACTCGGGCTACCTAGAGATGTTATGAAACTCCTTCACTGGAAATTAAGTACAGATTAGAATTATAGGGTTGGAAATGACCTTCAAGGTCATCAGGTCCAACATTATGGAATGGTTTAGGCAGGAAGGTTGACTAGCTGACCATTTGAGTCCTTCCAGCCCTGTTTGGTTTCTGGTTTTTTGTTTTTTTTTAACGTGTGCGCTTGCACATACAGATTCACGCACACACAAAATAGAATCCATTTGCTGCTACCTGTAGCTTGAATACAGTGATTAAGATGCAGCAAGTCAAGAGAGTTAGCTCTTCTAAAATGTTGCAATTAAACTTGGCAATGAAGAGAAATCTCATGTTCTGTTACTGCTGAGGGGCAACATTGTGGCAGCAAAGCTGATTGCTCTCTAATGACTTTGGAGTACTAACTCCATAGACAACAGGATCTGGCTGTTAAGATTTTTCTCCCTATTTGCTATATAGCTCCAAACTATTTTGGGAATGTTTCACACAGGGTAGTAGCACTGCTTGAATACAAGTTGAATGCAGCCTAATATATTCAAATAATGCAGTAATGGGCATAATATGAGAACCAAATCAAATAATGTTTCAGTTGGGATGAGATGTCAGGCTACAGTTGGGAGTTAATTGGTATGAGAGTCTGTTGTTGTTATTGTTAACTATTTTCCTGTAAGCCATGTATCAATGGGGCCAAATATGCCAAGTTGACTGAACTCCATTCCATAGCATTAGGGAAGCTAATTGCTGTCATTGAGAAACAGCGTTTCTCCAGTTGCTAATATAAACAAAGGTAACCAATTATGTAGATTGTATTAAACTTGACAAAACATTGGAACTTCATTTGCTTACCACAGGTTCCTGCGCACCTTCAAAACAGTTGGGAGAGTTACTACATGGAAATCCTCATGGTAACCGGTCTTCTTGCTTACATCATGAACTACATCATTGGGAAGAATAAAAATAACCGTCTGGCTCAGGCCTGGTTCAACACACACAGGGAGCTGCTGGAAAGCAACTTCGCCCTTGTGGGTAAGTTCTGCAGTTGCCATAGGCAGCTTCTTTGAATGTGACTGATTTATATAAGGCTATTGAAGGATATTGAGAGGAATAGGGGGTGGGTAGGTGGGGGGGTGTACTTGTTAGTAACAGTTCTGTGGGGGGGGAAGAAGTAACAGTCCAATCCTCCAGTTCTGAAATGCTATCTAAACTCTGAGATTATGATAATTATGACATAAATTTCATAACACCATAATCTAGTAGAATGAGCTGGGAACACACAGATTTTAAAACCAGAGTTGCTATGCCAGTATTTGAATCTGACCCTTGTAGCCCACTTACTTCCTCTTATTAACTAATTTGTTGTGGTTTTAGGGGACGATGGTACAAATAAAGAAGCTACAAGCACAGGGAAGCTAAACCAAGAAAATGAACACATATACAATTTATGGTGCTCTGGAAGGGTGTGCTGTGAAGGCATGCTTATCCAGCTAAAGGTAATGCTGAGGCTTCTGGCTGCATTATTCCATTTACTTTCCAGAAACAGGCTTGGTTAGATGTTTTCCCACTCCAAGATGGTTAGCAAGGGGTATCAATAAGACTTTATCATTCAAACCAGACACTGGATAGCGAATGTACATAGGTAGTCAAAATGTTTCAGTGGCTTTTTTTTGTAAACCATCACTCTTTTATACCATTTTTTTAAAGATCCTGTATCTCACGTGATATGACTGACAGCTGGATACTTTATGCATCTTGCTGTCCAGTTCTGTGGAGCAATTGTTTCTGGTCCTAGTAGTGAATGAAAAACAGGGCTGTAAAATTGCAGGGGCCATTCAGTGCCTTTTTATCACTGACCTAACACTTAAATGTAGTTGGTCCTGGATTTTAAAATAATAGACTTTGTTCCCTTCTCGAGAGGAAAGCAGTTGTGTAATTCTGGCTAACACTGCAGAACATGAACAACAGATACTTACATGACTCCCTTTTATTCCAACAATTTTTTTGTGTAAAAATTTCTCTGCAGTGCTTGAAGACTGAAAATAATTAGTTTTGGGTTGGTCCATGTGAATCAAACAATGGAAAAGTAAAACTGCTCCTAACAATGAGCCGTGTGCTCTTCTGATAGTGTTTGCAAAATGAAAAAAGTAAACATTAAGTAGTAAAGTAGATGTTTAAGATGAGAATAGCTGTGATGGACAAAGAACATTGGTTAAAAATAGCTTTTTAACTTTTGAGCTTCCTCTTCTTGCTATACTTCAAGCTTCTTGTTGGACTTGTCAGTGCAATTAGTTCCCAATTGTCTGTTTATGGCTCTCAAAATTGATGCATTTTGATGTCAATTCACTTTATAGTAAAATAAATATATGGTATCAAAGAAACATAATTCAGTGAGATTTGAAGAGAGTTCAACAAACATAGAAAAAGAGTCTAAAGAGTCTAATGTTCTCTTTCAGTTTCTCAAAAGACAAGACCTACTGAATGTACTTGCTCGCATGATGAGGCCAGCCTGTGACCAAGTGGTATGTGCTGCATTCTTCTAACTCCTTTCCCACTATTGGTCTTTCCCTTTACAAGCAGGTAAAAGGTGGGGTTTCTCTTTGTATAGCTCTTTATAATGTTAAACACAGCATCTCTGAAATGATCTGTAAACACCTTTACGTTCCTTTTTTCTCTACATGATATGCCAGACTTCTCATGAGTGGTGAATTATTGATGTGTCTGTTGGTTTTATTGTTCGTGTTGTTTTCTGAACATGGACTATCACACTTGAAGCTTCAGCAAGATGAAATCTTGCTCTGTGACTTAATCTTTAAAAGTTCTTCTGTCTCTTGAATCTTGTTATGAGTGCAGCCTAATCATACAGGGATCCTGGTTTTCTCTGTTTAGAAATTCCAAATTCTTTCGTTTAAAAAAAAAATCCAAAATTCTCTGATTAAACTTCACCCCCCCACCCAAATCCACATTTTTCCATAATTAAAATGAAATGCTACTATATTAATAGGTATCAGTCAAACAGTGTTTTACTGGTATATTTACAATTTTAAAGCAGTTTGGAAGCCTACCAGTACCTCAATCATTATTGTAAAATAAATGCTAAATACCTATATATTTTGGCATTTGATTTTGGTTTTTTTGTCATAGAAAATCTGAGCTCCCCCCACCCCCTTCACTCACCTGGATGCAGGTGCAGCTATGGCGGTCTTTTCTTCTCCCCTACTTTGTGGCACTGAGCAACCCTGATATGACAGTGCCCTGTCCATGCCATTGCCTGCCGCACCCAAGCCACAGCACCCCCATCCCTGCCAGATGGGGCCCCCAGCTGCCAGGGCTATGGAACCAGCTTGCCCACTTCATGCTCCATGGGTGCCAGCTGCAGCTGACCAGCAGCACCCAAGCCCTGGCTGCCATGCACTGCTGCGGCCAGAGCAGAGTGCAAAGC